TTGGTCCTAAAATCTAGGCCCATGAAGGTCCCTAATATACACTTGACTTTGTATCTATCTTTAAAGAGAGATTTTAAGGTGAGATTAAATTAGTATAAATAGTGATGAGTCTTATGTACACTTGATTTGTTTCCTCTATCTTCAAAGATGTTGTCTCTATCTTTAAAGAAAGATTTTAAGGTGTGATAATAATAGTACTTATATATACGGGTATTTATTTTATTTTATTTAATCATATTAATTTCTAGGTTTTCTCGCTACACTAATTGTAAAATTAATATAGCCAATATTACCCTTCCATAATTACATTTTCAAGCATGAGTTACCTCTCCTCTTACTTCCAATGGGCGTTTAAGTAAGGGGCTTTGCCTCTTGCGTTCACATGTAACCGCGGCCTGCCCAAAAAACGTGAGTGGTCCTCTTAATTATTTCGCTTTTTCCAGTTTGATGGGCTTTTCATGAGAGAACCAAGCGTTGCTCTGTCATATATATCTGATATATATGACGTTTAGGGCTAGTGCGCTTAATATCACGTACACGTAAATGAAAATCGTATATTACATTTTTTTATATTATATTATTTTTAACATATAAATAAATAAAATGAAAGTTTTAAATAAAAAAAATAAATTTTTTTAAAAAAAGCTCCTGAACCCTAAATTTTAAAAAAGGGTTCGGGTTCTCATCCCTGTTTTTTAAAGTTATGCAGGGACATTAAAAAAGTGTAATCAATAATGATCGCCGCCTTCAGTGGCAAAATTTTTTTAGGGGGTAGGTATAGATTTTTGAGGGGAGTTTGCATCCATTTCCAGTGTTTATCCTGTCATGTAGACACTGTCTCCATCGTTTATTGATTAAGTTATGTGATTGGTTGGGTAAAATGTGAAGGATAAATAATTACAAATTAAATAGTTGAGATTTTTAATAATAGAGGAAGAAACTAATTTTTCTTTAGATATGATTTTATTAATATATATTTTTACGATAATTGCTACTTATTATTTTTATCCCAACTATATTTATTGTTTTATTGACTTTATTTGATGAATAATAAAATAAATAAAATATGGAAATGTCTTTTGCATCCCCCTATTTTGTTGTAGATTCCAATTATAACCTTAATCACGACTTTTATATTCCTTTATGAGGGTTTGAAAATTTTATGATGGTACCTATATACCCTTTATTACATATGACTACTAATCAGTCACATAGTAAATTTTTTGACCTATTTTACCGCGTAAATTATTTTGGAGAGAAAATTTTAATTGTATCATCTTATAAATAACATTTCTTTTATATCAAAATCATTTTTTTTAAAAAAGAATTTTTATATTTATTTAAAGTGCGAGTATTTAATGTCAGCTGTTCCCTATATTTCAAAATTGACATTTTTCGTAATTTTTAATTACATTTTTTTAATATTAAACTTTGATATTATTTTTCAAAAAAATATGAACCAGATAACTAAAATATTCCTATATTCTTTTCCGTTTTTATATTTAAAAAAATTTAATTAAATATTTTTTAATCGATAATATATGTATGTTACTAATAAGATTCTAATATGATTTCATCATATGATTATTTTTCTGATGGCATGGCCACGATAATGAGGATGATAATTCAATATTTTCAGATAATTTTACTATTATAAATAGAAGAAGAGATATAATATGGAAGGAAAAAAATAAATATCCCTAAAATTTATCTAAAATTCAATGGAAAGTCACTTTATCCAGCGAGATACTGGCTTTACATACTCCCTATCAATGTTTATCATATTTTTTGAATGATAATTTCCTAGATTTAGTAGTTCTCGCAGCCAAATATGCAGCAATAAAAAATATTAACAAACCTATAAAAATTTCTATAATGGAGCTAAGGAAAGATTGATATTCTCATGTCCAATTACCATCGATAAGAGACTATTGGAAAGATGTAATTGGCAATGATCTTATAAAAAAAGACGATGACTATCACTAAATTTGAAAGCATTCGATCCATTAATGACAATAATTCTATAACAAAAGGTCAACCAGGCCATAGTAGGCTTATAAAAGTAGTCTCAATTGTGAAACACTTTCAAGATAGGTTTCATACAATTCCTAAAGAGGAATGCAATCGATGATTTGCTCAACTAAAGCTCGTATACATTTAAAAAAATATATGCCAATGAAGCCTCATAAATGGGGCTTTAAATTCTTCATTCTATGCGGTGTATCAAAATTTGATTTTGAACTATATTCTGGGCAGGAAAATGATTCTGAAAAAAGTCAACAGAACCAGAATCGTCAAAGCAAAATCCACTATGTAAAGGCGTAACACATGTAGAATGCTCGAAATGCCATTGCACTGTTTCCATGCAAATAAAGACAGTTTTATTTTATTTCATACCAATATATAATATACAATAAATTGTTTGTTAAATACAATTTGTGACTTATATGTAACATACATTATTATGGTCTAAATAAAAAAAATTTTTTTTGATCAATTATTGATTAATATGTCAAAGGGAATACCTGAGAATTTCTAACTTATTGCAAACATCATGTGGTAAAGGATTAATCGCTCTTGCTTTATATTATGTAAAATATTTCTTTTTCTTTTCATCTGTAATAAGGATTTAAAATGGTTTTAGAGTTCTCGATAATTTTTTTCGAAAGTGAACATTCATCATAAATGCCTCAATTACATGCCAAGATTTTGGTAAGTGTTGGGAGGGGGAGGATTATTAGGTGTAAAAATGTGTGTTGTAAAAAAAATTACAATGGCAACTTCAGCACAGAAAAATTAAAAGGTTAATTTTTCCTCATGAACTCTAACGCTATGGGGCTTAAATTAGAGAAAAAAAACAAGTTTATTTTATACACGAATTTTTTTAATGTGCATAGATTTAAATTAGTGATTATATGAGATGTTTAGGGCTAAGAATTCAAAATCATGATAAATATACAGTTCATGTTTCGATTCTCGTCTATTTTTCTATAAGAATATAACCAAACATCACCAAATTTATTTATAAATAAAATATATAAAAAATTCTCATCTAGTTAAGCCCTTATCTATATTCATTTCTCTTTCTTTACCAACAAAACTTCCTCCTTACATATTATCTTTTATTCTAATTTTTTTTTCCTTTATTTTACACACCAAGTTAAATATTAATTTTTTTTTGATTTTTTCTTTTCGTAATGAAAATAAATTATATATTTTTTTTTAAATTATAAAAACATTTTTAATATATTAGGATATTGAATATAAACTATACTTATATAATCTTTCAAAAATATAAATTTCTCAACTTATACTTTATTTTTAAGAAAGAAAAGGAAAGATACACACTTATATATTATACTACATATTATATATCGTATAAAATGACACTTGCGATATTTCTTGTTCCTTAAAAAAATTATGTATTCTCAATTTATAATTATTTATAATATTGCAAAAAATAAAGTAAAAATGAAATACTCTACTGTTATAAATACAGAAAATTTTTAATCAAAATACAAAAAAAATTATAAAATATTAATATTAAATATAAAATTAATTTTCCTTTCCAAAAAAAATAGTGATAATATATACTCTTATATAATAATAATATATGAAACTTAGTAAATTAAGTTCTTGAAACTGAAAAATTTTTGTTGAAAAAAATTGCAAAATTTAAAAAAAAAAATTAATTATAATTTTTTCTTCTTCTCTACTATTTTTTATATGAGGAATTAATATTATGAAGGAGAAAAAAACAACTAAATAATATAAAGTAGAACGGTAATTATAGAATATAATATATTTCTATAAAATATTAATTATTTAATTAATAAGTTTGGTTTTGTATTATTTAGCTCAAATAAGATAGTATAAAACCAAAATGGCATTTGTAATGATATTCATTAAATTTTGTTAAGGGATTATTTAGTTTGTCGTTGAAATTATTATTAATTTTTTCATAAATATTGGAAATTATATTCAATAAAAAAAAAATGTGTTAAAATTTAAAAAAATCTTTTATTCATTTGAGCCTCTTTTCTATTTCTAATATTATTGATTTATCCACGTTCACTGGCAATCTAGATGTCTAGGTTTAAAGTTAAGTTACCAAAAAAATTAGAATTTAATTTTGCTGCCAGGTGTGGAAGAAGTTTTGAATATTCTATCCGATTCAGGAAAACAGAAAATTAATGAGGTGAGATGATTCTTGTATGGCATAAAAATATTAAAAATTATTGAGTAAGACCTTGCTAGACACTCCATTTTTTTAGTGACAATGATAATTTTTTTTAAGGAATCGTTGGAAATATGAAATCATTGTTAGCTCTGAAATTTTAAAATTCTTCTGACCTTCTTAGGTTATTATCTAAGACAGTTTCAATATATCCCGGTCTTCCATTATTTATTATTGAATGTCACAACCTGATATCTTTCCGTAAAGAAATTTACAATTTATTATTTTTAAGAAAAAGAAAATAATTCAATCTAATCTTCTTAGCCTCTCCCCCATCGCTAGACCCAAATTGTTATTTAGCTTACTAGTAATTTTTAAAATTTCATTATTTAAAAGAATTGACTTTAATTTGTTATAAATGGTTTTTAACAAATATGAGAATCGAAAGATTGTTTAAAGTGATCCTCTATGCGATATTTTAAAAGTTTAATAAATACAATTTTTTTAAAATAAATTGACCCGCCCCGGGCTTGTACAAATAATTTTCTTTTTTAAATCGAACCTAGATATTCGCTTTTCAAAATTTTAGGAAACGGAACCACATTTTTAAAAAATATTTAGAACCGGAATATGAACCCGTTTTTTAATCTAATCTCTAAACTTTGGTTTCGTGATTATTATGAATATGATAAACTTGACTATGTATCGCAGCACCCTTTAAACTGTTTATCTACCTAATGTTATACTAAAAAAAATATCGAATTCCTATTTAATATCAGCGACACTCTGGTTTGACCAGGAAATAAATTTTAAAAAACACACGTCATTTTTATTCGCGTAAAAATTATTATATTATAAAGTCGAAAAGTATGAGAATACATATTATATATCGATAAAAATTTCATATTATTCACTGGGTTAAAAATAATGGTCCCCTTTTTTTACCTCTATACCTCTCCTCTCTTAATGCAAATGCTTTTCTATAAAATCTCTAACAATATCGGGATCATTACAATTGGCTTCTTCTAATATATCGGCACTACCCCAGTGAAACAAGGAGGGTATTCGCTTAAGTCCGATGTATCCGTCAACCCTAAAAGGGTTATTTTGATCCTTCCAATACTGCCCTGTTCCCACGGAACAATAAATATAATCGAATCGAGCGTCATTCTCATTTTTTTCCGTATTTTCGGAAGGCCATTTAAGTTGAGACAAAACAGTCTCTAAGTTCGGCATGGCGGCTCTGACATCCGGACACCAGTAGGTTAATTGAGAGTGGTCTAAATGCGAATCTTCGGCAGAGGAATGGGGTCCACTACCGAAAACGATAAATAATTGAGGCGAAGTTCCTTGATTGATGACCCGTGTGGTTTCATTTTCGTTTGTGTAACTTTATAGGTTTTTAAAAAACATAATAATTTTAAAAATTTAGCGTTAATCTAAAGATCACATAGAAAATAAAATAATATATTATTTATCTTTAAAATCATAAAATTTAATAGGGATAATGAATATATACTATTTAAATAATATATATTTCTATGAAAAAAGTCATATACTATAATATATCATTTAAAATATTCAGTAACTATGAAACTAAATTTTGAATGGACCAGCCTGTCATATTTAAAAAATAAAATTTGATTTCATATAAAATGGGGCTCGGACTAATAAAAATAAAAAGTCCAATTCAACGATATGATATAATTTTTTATACCATATTAAAGCTATTATTCTTCATTTGGAGATGCCCAAATTACAGATTGTAGTAAAATTAGAACAGAAAATATAAACATACCTGTGATGAAGCAAATATTTTTCGAGCGCATTATAGCCATCTAAATAACAGTTCCAGGGTCCAATAAGCCCCATCCTAGGTTTACATTTATCAGTTGACATCTATAAATAAGAAATACATTTAATGTTTTAAAAAAAGGTCATCTCATTTAATCAAAAGAACTATAGGCCTCATAAGTATTCTTATTTAGAAAAATTTATTATAATAGAATATAATATATTGTATATTAAAAAAAAGGCATAATAGTTGTTTAACTTTTGAATGAAAGCTTAGCAAATCATAATATAACATATTAAATAAAATATTTTAAAGTATTAAAATAAATAAGATCCATACTATAACTTTTTAATCCTCTTGTCTTATTATATTTTAATACACAATAAATGAAAAATATATATACCATTTTTTGATGAAGCATTTATATTTTAAACAAGGTTTTTTTAAGATAAATGTTCAAGTTCTAATTTAGGGCTCGTTTAAAAATATTTTATAAAAATTAACGTATTTTATATTCCTTTCTTTTAAATGAATTATTTTCAGTTTCCATCTAGATCTTAATTGAGGTGTACGTCTTAATAAGATGGGAGAACGATAGATTCACGTGCTCCAATTAGGGAGCTGATTACAGCGCTGTGCCGAGACTTTTAGTGGCCCAATGCAAAAAAAATAATTTGACGGCACCTTAAAAAACACCATTTATCTAAGCTTATTTTATATATTTTCGCAAAGAAATCTAAAAACATATCTATTTTATTAAATATTAATCATAAAAGCACTTTCAAGCGCATTTATTAATTCTGGTATATTGAATAAAGATCCAAAATTATCTTTAAATAGCTTTAACTTCTGGAAAAGTTCCTCCAACGAATTTCTCTCTTGATCTAGTAATACATTGAAAAATTCAATCTCGTATTTTTTCGAAAATCATGTATAAGCAGGTCATAAAAAAAACAATAATTTATAGTATTGTTTTAAAGGCATTTCAGTTAATTTTTTGAAAATTTTATAATTCAATTCCATATACCTCAAACCTGATAAAAAAAATGTAAGATAGATAATCACAAATCCAATCATAAAGGCATCAATTTCACTATATTCAACACTATTATTATATTTTTATTTATTTAAGTAAATTTATAAAATAAAAATATAATATTAAATAATATAATGTTCCAGTTTCCGATGGGGTTCATAGGTCCGGGATCGATAAGGCAAAAAATAAGCAAAATTAGCTGGGTGATAAATTTAGCGACCTTAAAAGTTATCGATCATAACTTGGCATCTTTATTTGTAAAATTAAATTAACACTATTCATATCTGTATATTTCTCTCCTATTTCGCGCTTAAAATTATGATTCGATTAATGATATAAAATATATTAATTAAGGTTTGAAAGTTAACGAACAAGTGCAGAAAAAAAAATTCAATCTAAAAATTTTAATAAACAAACTTTAATATAAATCATAAAATTCGCAAAAAAATGAGATAAAAGGTGACCTGCTGACACAAGCCGATAGTTTTATTTAAAATTATTATATAATGTAATGCTTATATTAGCCGATAAAATTTTTTTTTTTAAATTATAAAAATTCTATAGAATGTTGTAACAAATTTAATAAAGTAGTAAGCACTTGTTAAGGCAAAAATAAAATAAAATGATTTGACAGTTTTATACCATGATGAAGGGACGAACTTATTCGAGAGAAGGATTAAAAGAATGCCGAATATTGAAATTTATTATTATATTACAAATTAGTCAAAGGTATACAAAATTTTCCCCTTACAAAAAACGAACATTATTATGGGGTCCCTCCCTCAATCTCTATCTTAGGTCCTTAGTAAATAAAATTTCCCATATTTTCACACAATTAATTGGATCGGTAGTTTAAAGTCGGCCTGAACCTCGACTAACTGGGTTTAAAAATATTTTAGCTCAGCCAAAACAAAATATCGTGCTAGGTTTGAAAAATATTTAAAAAATTCTGAATAATAACAAAATAACGTGTTCTCTTGGTTTATCAAAATAAATTGATATAATAAAAATTTATTTGTATAAGAGAAGCATAGTAATTTTTATTTCATAAAAATGAGAATTTATATTTTTTTAATTTAAAAGGGCTGGCCTCGAGCCCACAAATGAATAAATTTTCTGGCGAGAATGATTAAATATAAATCATAAACAATTATTAATTATATTTTGGATTCTTTTTAAATTTTTTGGGCCATTTCGAGGCTTCAGAATTTTCTGAAAATTCATCAGGGGGGAGGGGGTGTCCGGCACTATAAACAATAATATTAAGTAATTTATTCCATAGAATATACAATCAAAGTCTTAAAAAACTGTGGGTTCATTATGATACAACCCTATCAAAGATTTCAGCTCAGTGCTTGAGTACAATATTTTAATTTTCTTAGAAATAAATAAGTTTGGATATTGACAAAATTTTTGGTTAGTAGTTGTTGGACAAAATAAATTTAAAAAATTTTGACAATCCAGTCCTGCAACATGAAAAAAAAAGTGTTTTGAAGAATATAAATCTTATTAAGACTATATATTGTAATATAATATGGTCTATTTTCCAAAAATAATTCCTCATGTTTATAGGCTCAAATTCTGAAATGAGAATATTTTGTATCGTACATACTCTAAAATTTTATTCCGAATGATCTTTCAAGCTTTAACGTGAGAATATGATATGACTCTCAGACCTAAACAAGACCGATTAAATAGAACTAAACCATGCATGATTGGAAGTAAGCCGGAGTTTAAGTTAAAATAAACGGCAATATAAGAAGGCATAAATGGGATTGTATAATAAAAAAAATATTTTAATTAAAATTTCTCTTATCATAGGTATTATATATATATACTCTTCTCTGTAAAAAAAAATATAAATATTGATAATTAATTTTTAATAAAAAAAATTAATCAAATTTTAATCTATTTTATTTTTATTTTTATACATATAATTTTCTTCTTCAAATTTAAAAAAAAATAATTTATAATAAATTATTAATAACATTTTTCATCTTATTTTTTTTAGACTAAAATTACAAAACCCTCGTTAATTTTAATAACATCTTTCTATTTTCTTTTTGTAAATATTTTAAAATTAAAAACATTATATAATACCATTATAATTAAGTCACCAAAAAAATCATCAAAGTATAAATAAATTCTTAAAGAAAAAATTGAAATAAGTTAAAATTATCTTCAAAGTTGTTGGATATCATAGGTTGTTATCTTAATTAATATAAATTAATTTTAGTTTTTGTAAAAAAAAATAAAGCTAGTTTCTAAAAATAATTATATCGCTAAAATAATGATAAATATGAAGTATATCACAGTTTAAAATCTGAATTCTCGGAACTGGGATTGCTAAAAATAGGGCATCTCGCTTATATCTCCTAGAAATTTCTTAAAACATTATTGAAAATAATATTAATAGATAAGATACTAGGGAAGTAAACAATTGTATTTAAATTAATTTCTTTAAAATCGAGACCCCCATTTATAGAGATTTTTTTTTTTTTAAAAAACTCAATTTAAATATAGGAGTCTACTTCCCTAACATCTATTATAATTTTTTTAATATTTCTTTCAAAAAATTTTAGAGATATAAACGAGTTTCCCAATTTTCAGCAATTTAGAGCGGAAATCTCGAAATCGGAACAAATCTAAGAACCTAAACCCTTTATCAAAATTTCTAATGAGCCGAAACATAACGCATATTATAATTTTCAAGTGATTCCAACAAAAATATGCCTAAATTTATAAAGTTGTGATTAGGTTTGTTTAATGTTAAAAAAAATTTAAAAAATGAGTAGGGAAAAGAAGAAACTAATGGGTGGGCGTGAGAGTTTAAAATGTATACTCGGCGGGATGGTGGACGTAAGCTAATGTTTAATTAAAAATGAATAGTTAATTTTAAACTAATAGACGAGCTTCTCTCCAAAATCATTAGCTGGCGGACTCAAAACTTGTCTATATATTTCTAATTGTCATCCTCATTACGATAAAAATATAAAGCTATTTATCATTTATTTGTACAATGATGAGGATTGAGATAAGGTATAAATTACTATGGCTAAGTGAGTGAATGCTTAACAAGATAATCTAATGAACCAATTATACGGTATTATTAAAATATCTGTTCAAACGTGATCAAAAAAAATATATCGACATAGGCTCTCATAATTGAGCGCCTTTGAATGTTAAGGGATGGGGTTAAAATATTGAATGTTTAAAATAAAAATACAAGATTATTTTATCTATGCTGTTATTTTATATTATTTGTAATCGCTGTAAAGCAATGTTAGATATTTCTATTTTACTTTGCGTAAATGCAATGCATTTAAATTTACCAAAAAAAATTAAATTTTTTTAAAATATGATTAATCCAAAAAATATTCATGATTTTTATCGACCATTACCCTATCTTATTAAAGTTAATTGCTGTGTACCTATTTTTATTAACTTGATATATAAAAACATTTTTATCAAATCGGTGAATTTAAAATTATTGGCCCGATAACCGATATCAAACTCGTTACCTCCTTAACTATATACTACAGCAATGGTTAGGGGTTGGGCTCGAAAAATAGAATATTTAAAAACACATTTTCTATAAAAAATTATTTATGATTTCAATTTTCATATTTATAAAATGCTATTCAAAAGTCAGTGACTATTATTATGACACATTGCTTTAAATGTAAATTATTATGATTCAAGCGTACGTGTTAACTATTTGCTAGCCAGATTTTAGCGGAGGCGTTTAATAAATACTCTATCATCCCCGCAGGAAGAAATACCTTATCATCATTCTATATAAAATTTTTGAAAGCCATTTTCCTCTTTAGGCCTTACTGCCTTATTTTTTTTCTTCTTATTCTTGAAAACAACAAAATAGCTCTAAAAACAAAACCTAGATAAATTTTGTAAATTTTGAACGCTAATATAAATGTTTTAAAAAAAAATTATATAAATTATTAATTTATATTAAAAAAAATAAAATTAAATAAATTTTTATAAAAATTAATGATATAATAATCGATCTACAAAATAAAATAAAAAATTGTTTTTTTTAAATATTTTCGA